GCGAAACCGGAGAACCTTAGCGGCGCGTAACGCACCGAGATTAATGCGTAACCTTTATGAAGCGCGACGCGAGCCGTGCGTGGGCGTGCGTGCACCGCGCGGAGAAATGCATCGCGAACCGCGTGCCGCGTGCCACGATTGAACCCTCCAGGCCGGGTTCAATGGAATCGTACGCCGTCGCCGATCGTTCAGAATTATTACTTCCGGTGTCCCTGATTTTTCCCCCGTGCAATCGACCCCGTGCATCCCTTCGCTAATTACTGGACTCTATACGAGGGTGTCCCAAAAATGTCTCGAAATCTGAAAGTGGCGGGTTCCTCGGGTCATTCGAAGCAACCTTTTCCTTTACAAAAATTTTCTCCGACGCACCGTTAACGAGTTATTAACGAAAAACAGTGACCAATGAGAGGCGTGCTCGACTGGCGCGCGGCGACCGAGTCAATGAGCGGAACCGGGCTTCGCGCGCTGGTTGGCTGGGCCGCCTCGCATCGGCCGTATTCGATTCTTATTGGTCACTGTTTTTCGTTGATAACTCGTTAACGGTGCCTCGGAGAAGATTTTTGTAAAGGAAGAAGCTGCTTCAAATGATCCGAGGAACCCGCCACTTCCGGATTGCGAGACGTTTTTGGGACATCCTGTAGATCATTGCGCGAAATACATATTTTTGGTACGAATTACAGGAAATAGCGGGTTTAGAAAAATGCATTTCCTTCTTCGACGATTTTAATAAATTGAAGAGAATGTTAGGGTACTTTTAAATTCTTGCAATTGCTTCACTGCTTGGTATTTCACCTAGACACTTTTGCCATAAATTCGTTAAATACATGGTCTATTAATTACACAAAGAGCTACGAGTTTATAGAGCTGTAAGCTTTTCCCGAGAAAAATCGTAGATCAAGCTTTAGTGGCACCGCGGCGAGCAGAATTAGGCACTTATGGAATGTCCTTTATGAAATCATGCGACGCGTATCTCTTCCGCGGATCGAAAAAAGAGAAGTTGACGACGTTTGACCTGGCAACGTGCCTGGCCGGGTTGCAGATCTGCCGTGCCGCGTTTACCATAGAATTACACGGTCCGTAAGAATGCTTAGTATTAATGCAACAGGTTGCGCGGACAGTAAAATATTAGGGTGTTACATTGACGTACAAATTAACATATAGGAAACATATTTCATTGAGATTAAATTGTACGGCCAAGCGCGTACGATCGACGGCAAATAAATGGCGATGGAAGGGGTTAATGCTGATTACATCTCGTAAATAATGCTCTGTTGCGAGTCGCTTGGACCCGCTTGCTCCGGGATAAAGCTTCGAGATCTGGAGTGAAATCGAACCGCGAGTACTAATATTTATGTTAATTGAAGATATACTGCGTTCCGTCGTTGCTGCGGCGCAGATATCATTCTTGGACGTGAGGGGAGCCGAGAGAAAACGAGAGAGGAAGAGACAGAGAAAACGAAAGAGAGAGACAAAGAGAGAGGAAACGAAAGAGAAAGCCATAAGAAGAGAAAACGAGAGAGAGAGAGAGAGAGAGAGAGAGAGAGAAAACGAGAGAGAGAGAGACAGAGAGAGAAAACGAGAGAGATAAAGAGAGAAAAAACGAGAGAGAGAGACAGAGAGAGAAAAAGAGAGAGAAAACGAAAGAGAGGAAAAGAGAGAGAAAAAACGAAAGAGAGACAGAGAGAGAAAGAAGACAGAGACAAAGAGAGAGAGAGAGGCAGAGAGAGTGAACGAGAGGGAGAGAGAGAAAACAAGAGAGAGAGAGAAAACGAGAGAGAGAGTGAGAGAGAGAAAACGAGAGGGAGAATGAGAGAGAGAACGAGAGAGAGAGAGAGAGAGAGAGAGAGAAAACGAGAAAGACTGAGAGAGAGAGAAAACGAGAGAGACTGAGAGAGAGAGAACGAGAGAGAGAGAGACTGAGAGAGAGAGAGAACGAGAGAGAGAACGAGAGAGAGAAAACGAGAGAGAACGAGAGAGAGAGGGGTAGAGAGAACGTTTTGAATTCGAGCCGCGTCGCAGTCAAACAAGATGAACAGCCGAGAATTTTAATTGGCGGGCCCCGATAAAAACGTCGTTTCCGATGCGAGGATACGCCGCGGCGGGAATAGATAGAACGCTTAACAGTTTCGAGGAGAACTGTGATTTACTAGGAACGGGGTTCCCGTATCGGTCGGTTCCAGCGATTTAACCTCGATGATCGATCTAGAGCCGACGAGGCCGTGCCTGAGCCAAGTGCCGAGAAACCTGACGAGCAAACGAACACCACACGCTTCTCTCGTGGAAATTAACGAGGATCCAAGGTCGTGCGGATCAACGCGCCAACCTCGGCGCTAACATTTTTGCGCAGTTGCACGCCTAATGGAGAAGAACCGAGCGATTCCGCCGCGCGCAGTTTTAATTGGCCCCCCAGGCGGCCGGTAATTGTTTTCTATTAACCCCGGACGACGCGTTTTAATTTGTCCGGCTAGCTGCGAACTTCCCGCGACAGTTTAGACAGCCGAATTAAGACGAGAGTAATGAGATGGGCTGGGCTCTAAGCCGGTCCGGGCGACGCGTGCTTAACAATTAACCCTTTCGGTACGAGCGCGTTGTCCGCCGTGACACTCCCACTGTACGGGGAGCCGCGCCGAAAATGCGCGCATAACGCAGAGTCAGTTCAATTTTGTGCGAAGATTGTCTTTCTTTTCGTTAAGTAATGACTGTGCTTAATCCGTTTCTAAATATTTTTTTAAATGTTTCCTGTAAACATTCTGTAAAGGGCCTACAATATGTTAAAAATCTATGAACAAGTTTCGTAGAAAAGTGTAACCTGAAATTTTTTTAATCGATTCAGATCGAACGACAACTATACCTGTAGCTGTCTTTTTCGGAATCCTTGTAAGAAAAGACTTTATCCGTTCGAGTCCCAGAGATTATTCAGAAAACACGGTCGAAAAATGCCGAACACAGCGTGATAGCGCTGCTTGGGACTCAAACGGTTGTTAGAATAGTTTCTAACATGTTAGAAATATTTATTATAAAAAATATTATATTATTATTAATATTATATATTATTATTCAATTACACGAATTGGTAAATTAAGCGACTAGTAGACTGGGGATTATTTATTATTTATGTAACATAAAAATTGTCTTTATCCCTTTGCTTTTCCTGTAACACTGTATCCACCGAGCTGGTCAAAATGCCTGGTTTCATAATTTTTGTTTTGCTTTAAAGTTACTAAAATCGTATATATATATATTTATATAATTATAATATATTATAATATATTAATATTATAATATAATATAATATAATATAATATAATATAATATAATATAATATAATATAATATAATATAATATATATTATATATATATTTATCTTTATCGTTATGAAGCAACCCGCGTTAATTTCATTTAGGACACGGCGGGATTAGCGTTAATGATTTCGACGAGATAAACGTAATGCGCCGACATTCGCGAATTCTTTTAACGCTAAACTTAACCGAGCTGGTCAAAATGACCGGTTTCATATTTCTCGTTTCGCGTTAATGATTTCAGCAAGATAAATGTAATGAACATCGAGATTCGCGAATTCTTTTAACACTGAACTTACCGAGCTGGTCAAAAACGACCGGTTTCATATTTTTCGTTTCATGCTTAATGATTTCAACGAGGATAAATGTAATACGTACATATCGACATTCGTGAATTCTTTTTAATACTAAACCCACCGTACCGGTCAAAATGACCGGTTTGCTTTTGTTTTTGCTGAAATTATATATTCTTAATCCAAAGCGTACGTTTTATAATAAAAATAGCAAAAAGGCCGAATAAATATAGTCTTTTCATCGTTGGTAAAGCGACATACGTTAATTTCTTTCGAGGCTCGATCGGTTTAGCGTTAATGATTTCAATGAGATAAATGTCATTATGTGTATATAGATCGACGTTCGTATATTCTTTTAACACTGAACGTATTTATTCCCGCAAAATGATTCCAATTATAAAGACACCGCGTCACGGGAAACAATTGGCTAAATCTCTTAATTCGAGCATACGTTATTCCTGCAAATCGACACACGTATTACTCGCATTTGATGCTCGATAGGATCAGCGTCGATCGTATCATCGTCCTGTTGGTACCATAAAAGCGCAACACATCCGCGGTTTAATAATGAACCCCTTGCGAGCCATTTTAATCCTGAATCCAAAATAATTTCTTCTGAGCCATACAGTATTTCTATATAATACATAATATATAATATAATATATGATATACAATAATATATACATCACAAGTCGCAAAGTTCAATTTCATATACGTACAAAATAGAATTTTTTATTTTTAAAAATTCTATTAACAGAACAATAGAATTTTTTATTTTTAAAAATTCTATTAATAGAATAATAGAATTCTTTATTTTTAAAAATTCTATTAATAAAATAATAGCATTTTTTCTATTAATAGTAATTAATAGTAATTATTAGTAATTCTACTAATAATAATCTAACTTTCTATTCTATTAATAGAATAATAGAATTTTTTATTTTCAAAAATTCTATAATTATAGAAATTACAAAAATTCTATAATAATAGAATAATAGGTTTCTCAATGCTAAAATAGCATAAAAAATTCTATTTTTTATGCATATGAAATTGAGCTTTGTGTCTCGTACAACAATGACACATTCAACAAGTTTAACAACGTAAACATTATTTTAATACCCAGTATAACAATTTTCAGCGGTGTCTCAGAGTCACCACTCCGCAAAGGGTTAAACTGCGAATCTTTATACAAAACAAAAACCGTCCAAGTTAATTACAAAAATATGAACCAGTTGAAAACATCTTTTCCCTCTTAATAATCCTAACAAGTAGAAAATAATTTTCAACGACTACCCTCGAACACTTCCAATGCCCCAGTTTCGTACACGACCAATTCGATTCGCCGATAATTGCATAAAAAAAATCCGCAGTCTACTACTACTAACAATACCGATCGAACATAACTCACCGTCAAGGTCGAAGGTGTCTTTCCTGTCTGTCGCCGAGTCCAAGCTCTTGCATTCCTCCGTGGGTGTGGTGTCGTCGCTGACTTCGTTGTTCCTGCGAAACAGAAGCCAGCTTGAAGAGAACGGTTTCCTAAACGGCGCGTTCGCGAACGCGCAAGGATTACCGATCCTCGTAGTAATTGCACACGGTGAACCGTACGCGAGATAGAATCGGTCCGGTGTAATTTCACTGTCAATTCGCGCGGAAGAAAAGGGGTGGCGGCGTCGGCAGGATGCCGGGCCGATCGCGTTCCTCGATTTTCGCGGATCGGGGGCCCCTAAGTGGTCAATTAACTTTTTTGCCGGGCGCCGGATGACCCACATCCATGCACCGGGCAGGGCGATTGAAATTTTCGAAACGGCGTGCCGGAGCGTAGCATTAAGCCGGCTTTAACCACAGCCCTCCCCGGGAATTTTTCACTCTTTCACTTAAGCGCGACGGGCGCGCGCGCGCGCGACCGCTCGGATTCGCGAGGATGTTCCGGAATGCTAATCGCTCCGCTTTCGATTTTTTCGTGGATCGGCCGGGCCCGATCGGCGTGCGTGCGCGTTGCCGGGCATAATTCCCGTCGCGGGTAACGCGGTGCAGGCGTGCGAGCGCGCGCGCGTCAGCGGGCTCCGCACTCGGAATTATTACAAAAAGCGCACATTCTTGGCCGGCGAGCGAAGCCGCGCCGCGCGTCCAAACCTCTCCGGCCCCCGACGGATCCGCGCCGCGCCGCGGAATCGAGCAGGCGTGGCTCGGCCATGCTATAAATACGTGTATAAGAGACCGTTTTGCAACCGTAAATCGTTCACAGGCATCCGTGCCGCGTCGGGACGCCGCGAATTCCACGGAAAAACGCGATTTGCTTACAATTAAAGAATGGCGGCTGGCCGCCGACCCACCGCAGCCTTCGCGCGATACCTAAGCGCGGACACCGCCCCCGAGGTGTTCAGAAATCGGTTAATTTTCGGAAGTTGTTTTATTGGTTGCGGATCTTCGTGCGGGATGAGAATAATCCTAATCGATTGCAACGGGCAAATGGCAATTCGATCTTTTTTCTTTAACACGCTGTGAGCGGGTTATTTCTGACAATTTCGCTGGAACTGTTTTACAGAGTCGTTCCAATTATGTATTAATCCTTAACCCTGTTATGTACGTGCTATCTTTTTTTCTTTATATATACGTACTATTTTTTTTTCTTTATATATACGTTCTACTTTTTTTTTCTTTATATACATATACGTCCTACATTTTTTTCTTTATATATACATCCTATTTTTTTTTCTTTATATACATATGCGTCCTATTTTTTTTCTTTATATATACATCCTATTTTTTTTTATTTATATACATATGCGTCCTATTTTTTTTCTTTATATATATATATATATATATATATATATATATATATATATATATATATATATATATATATATATATATATATATAT